ATAAAATCATAGCTCATCACAGAGGCCAAATGTCACCACCAACCCACTATCTTCTCGCTTTAACCTTACCCATACACTACCACCCACCTTTAAACCTAGCATATATATCACCCCTTCCCACTTGCCTAGACCTGAGGTCCATATTCGTGGGAGTACTGATCTATGCATGATGGATACACTTCAACCCCAGCCAAGACCTAAAGATCTTGTGGTGGCAGTGGTATCACAATTTGAAGAGAAAGAGACAATGATAGAGAAAAAGGAGTCCATCCCAAACTCGACCCGTGACCATCCCTACTTGAGTGGCATACAATATATAGTAAATATTAAGTGTCGACTTTTATATTTAAAATAAAAAATTAAACAGAAAAAAAAGGAGTAAGACTCAAACCTTTGGTCTTAGGTCGTAAATAATACTCTTACCACTTAACTAGTACATAATATATGTAGCAAATATTTTATTTTATTTTTATTTATTTGAATTGCACACGTATCACGCGTGCTAATCGCTAGACTGTATATAAAAGTGAACACTTATATTGGTGTACTGAAGCCTTTACTTCTCTATGTGCCAAGTGGATTTTTCAATTTAAAAAAATATATATATTAAAAAATAGGATAAAACTTGAACCTAACACCTTAGGTTTGATAAAGAATACACTTACTATTTGAGTGACATACAAAGTGTAATATTTGTTTGTTTTGTTTGTACTTGTTTTAATTGTGCACGTATTGCGTATACCACCCACTAGTAAATATACATCCACAACTAAAAACTTATACTTTTAAAAAAATAAAGATACATTACACTTTATTCCTTAATGTTTGGCTATTTTTTCACTTTGCTTCATAATAACATATTTTTTTTCTTCTTTGGCCCTTTTGTTTCAAATTTTTCTCAATTAATCTAAAAACTGACTTATGTCCAAATTAGGAGGAAAAAAAAAAAGCACATTGATAGACATGTGTCATAAAAATGTTTTATTATATATAAATCACACATCTAACACAGTCAAACCATAATATAATAATATATGTTTATGTCATGTGATAGTTAACGTGATATTTTTTGTATACTTTTGAAAAAAAATTAGGATAAATTAGAAGAAAAAAAAAATTGAAACATGAAGGAGCAAAATAAAAAATATATATATTAAAAAAAAAGAACTAAAGTGAGAAAATGACCAAATATATAAGAAAAAAGTATAATTTACCAAGAAAAATAAAAAAAAATTACAAAAACAATATCACAGTGACTCTTGTAACAAAATAAATCTTAAATTTTTCATTTTATTAATTTAAACCCCAGATGTTTTTTTTTCAATATAAACCATTTACCTATTTTCATTAATTAAGTAAAATCGATAAAAAAAATGTTATTTTAGAGCAACCTCATCAAACTCAGTAGAGTCCTTCTCAACTAAACTAGCGAGATAAACTCTAAAAAACCAAGCCCATCAATCTCACTACAAGCATGCCAAAATTTAAGGGTGCTAGGGTATCTCGCTACAACAAACGAGGTACTGTTCATCGTTATTTATTTATTTTATTCTTTTTCTATCGCGCCAAACTCTACCCTCTTCCTCTTCTACGCCAAAACTACAGAGCGGCAACCACTCCACAGCATCTGCTTTCACCATATCTGAAGTTCAGGTTCTCTCTCCCCCTCCCCTCTCTCTCTCTCTCTCTCTCTCTATGTTGTACTCTAGATTTGGATTAGATTGGATAAATTGGGGTCTATAATTTTATTTGAGAACCGTCAGGTGTCTCTTTGATTGAATTAAGTTGTTTCATGTTGAACATTTTTGAAATTTGTACGCACAAAATTCTTGTATCACAACTGTTCGATAAATTGTCTCAATGAAAGTGAAATGTATTGTTGATTGTTCATTGTCTACCCCTGTTTAGTTGAAAGTGGATTAAATTGGATTAAATTGGATAAATTGGGGTCTATAATTTTATTTGAGAACCGTCAAGTGTCTCTTTGATTGAATTAAGTTGTTTCATGTTGAACATTTTTGAAATTTGTACGCACAAAATTCTTGTATCACAACTGTTCGATAAATTGTCTCAATGAAAGTGAAATGTATTGTTGATTGTTCATTGTCTACCCCTGTTTAGTTGAAAGTGATCAAGTGTGAAATGTATTCTTGACTGTTCATGTCATTGAATATAACTCTCAAAGAGAGGATGGAATGCAAAGCAGAATGTTCGAAGAATATGGTCCAGTTTTGGACTTGGGGTCTTTATGTTTTACCCGAAACGTACCAGTTGGCCACCGTGTTGGTGACTCTCTAACTATCCGATCCACTCATATTTTAGAGTTGATTAAGTAAATCAACCACAAAAAATTTCAACTCAATCGGAGATCATCATAATGGCTGCCTGAGCTAAACAGCAAGCACCCGTTTCCTCCAGTTTTACCTTTACAAAGGAACATAAGAATTGTTTGGATGACATTCTAGTGCTACTTGATCAAGCCATGTAACGCCCCAATTTTCATGCCCAAATGGTAATACAATAGTCATGGCTCTTTAAAGTAAAATGATAATAAATCCTCATACTTGCATTACATAATGTAAATAGCATTCATGCGATAATACAATTAATCCAACAACAATTAATTAAACAACAAATACCCCCAAGGGTTTACAAGTTTCCAAGGCCTGAGCCTGGTTACACAAAACAGTTATTCAAATCCACACATACAAAGCCCTTGGCTTACAATCAGAGTCACAGCTAATGAGCACATTATGCTCTCTGCACACACTTCTACGCCTTCAGTTAGGCGGAATCACCACATCTTTTCTTGCACAAAAATCCCGTAGGGTGAGCATAAAGCCCAGTAGAGAATTCTTAATAAAGTATATACATTTTACACAAGTCTCAAGAGATGGAATGCTTATGCCATGCCATGCCTTTTTGAAAGTAAAACACACCTTCATCTTTTAAAAACCAACATGCTCAATGATGTCATGCCATTTCAACTGCTCAACATTTATCAAACTTTATTTGAGGGGCGGTAAATACAACTCTGGTAATCCCTAGGTCAGTGTCTGCAAATAGACTATATAAGTACTACCAATTTGTCATTTTTACCAGTATCAACTGGAGGGCTCGACACCCATAATATGTCAATTTTACCAGTATTAACTGGAAGGCTCGACACCTATTCTCTACACTACCTTTCAAGACTTACCACTGTATTTACCCCAAAACCATTTCATAAAAAATTGTTTCTCAACATTCCTTTCTCAATGCAAGCTTTCAAATCAACTTTCAAAATTTAATGTAATCATATGAATTGATATGCCAATGCAACAATAATCAATACAATGCAACAATTCTTCCATTTTCAATTCTTCCACACAATGCTACCATTGTGATCAAAATTCTCATTTCTCCTTTCCATGCAATTTCACAAGATAAATAAATATACATTTATTTCAATTCATCCGAGGAATAACACATCCTCCCTATTTCGAGCATTTTCAACAAATTAGCTATTTCAAGACTATATCAACATTTTGAATAACAATTTTCAAAATGAACAACAACTCTCATATTTCTCAAATTTATCATTTATACAATATAAACAAGAAAATTTCCAAACATCATTTATTTTGGGCATTCAAAATAAATATAACAATATCGACCATGGATTTTCAACTTCTTTTTAAAATCCCTAAATTTCTAGGTTTTCTCATCAAAACCATCCATCTTCAAACATTTGAGAAAAATCTTACTAAAGACATTTTTCCTTAACATACATAGTTCAAAACCCCCAATTTCTATCTCAAATGATCAAATAGTAAACTCACTTTCAAAATTACTCTTTTTCTTGAATCAACAATAATTTTTCAAAACTTAACAAGGGATGATTTCAAAAATCATCAAGATCTTGCAAATATATATATATAACTCAAAGAAAATCTCTACCTCAAGTTTGAAGAAGAAAATATTTGAATCCCCCAAAATCAACGACGATGAAACTCGATCTCCACCGCACACAACGAAGCTCTCGAGAAGTTACACAACTTGCACGAAGGAACTATGGCCAAAATCCCAATGGATTTGGAGAAATCAAAGAGAGAATGTGGTTTCTAGAGAGAGATGCTCTAGATCTGGATCTTGGAGACTTTTAGAGAGAGGGAGGATTGCAAAAAGTGATCTGAATTGTCACTTTCGCGAGCTGATAAGACGCGGTCTGCTCGAGCGTGAAAAGCCCCGCTCGAGCGTCAGACACAGACCCCCGCTCGAGCATGAAACCTTGCGCTCAAGCGTAAAACACGCTCTCCTAGTATTTTTGCAGACACAGTCCCTGCTCGAGCGCCCGAATTCCCGCTCAAGCGTGGAGCAAAATTTATGAAGCCCGCTCGAGCGCAAGAACACCCGCTCAAGCGCAAGAGACAAATTCTAGGCAACAAAGGTTTGGAAAAACAAGTAACCAACTTGTTCCAAACACACAACAACAACCCAATAACCAACATTAAGGGGAAGACAATGGAAGCAAGACCTAAACCACCATCCAAACCATACAAACCCGAGTCCGAAACACCACAAAAGACGAGTCAAAACCAGGGTCGCTATAAGACAACTCATCAATTTAATAAAAAAAAGAAAGAATAATAAATACAATAAAAAAAATAATATTTTAATAAGATTGAGTTAGAATAAAGAGTTTGATAAAGTGGTACTAAAAATGTGACTAGTCTATATAATAAAATAGCTTTTTAAGTTAGAATTTGACTAAAAATTTGAAGAGATTGGTGTAAATGTTTTTAGCCATGAAACTCAACCTATGCGTATATTAAATGTTTAAAATATAATTTTTTATTAAATTTAATAACTAACATACATATTTTTTTGTCAGTTTTACTTTTGAAGTAGATAAATAATTTAAATTAAAAATAAATCAAAAATTATGATTTAAATTGAAAAATTAAAAACTTTGTTAATATATATATATTTTTTTAATATGTTTAAAATTTGTTAAAAGAGAGGGTTTTGAACATTACCAGTGGCAGCAGCAAGCAGAGGAAAGTGGGAGCAAAATGGAGGGAGAGGCACTGATATACCTGCAGCTGCACAAGCTATCAACCATAAAGTCCCAAGAAGACCTCCAACACATCCTCTCAACTCTTTGGAATACCAGAAAAACCGGTCTCTCTGCCCCCGACAAATCTTCCCTTCGGTCTCTCCTCAATCTTCCTTCCTCCGCCGAACTCGATCCTGTAATCTCTCTCTCTCTCTCTATCTCTTTTCAAACAATTTTTATTTTATTTATTTATTTTTCAATTCTGTGAGTTTTGGTTTTGAAACGCAAAAGGTAGGTTGCAATCCAAGAAATGCAGAGAAAACAGTGCCAAATTTTGCTTGATTTGTTTAGAGTTCAAACAATTACAGTGAAATGGAGAAAAAATTGTTGGGTTAGCTAACAATAACACTAAATTTTCCCAGAAAATCTTGGGGTTTATATACTATGAAAATATTTCAGCCCTGCAATTTATGTACATATTTATAAAACAAATCTAGTGCTGCATTGTTTCATAGCATTTTTTAAAAGACCTGTTTTAGCAATTTTTAAATTTTATTTTCTGTTTTGTGGTTTTGGTTTTCAAAGCACAGGAAATTCACTCCAAGAAATGTAGAGAAAACACTACCAGTTTTGTTTGATTTTTTTTAGAGCTCTAAGAAGTAAGTACTACAGTGAAGCTAATTTAGAGCTAGTATGGATATGTACTTTTCTACTTCTTTTTTTATATATTTCTTTTTTTTTTTAATTTTAATTTTTAACTAATCTATTGCTGCATTGTTTCTTCCCATTTTTGAAAAACCTGTCATAATAATTTATTTTGTTATCAGTTAAACAATTTTGATTGTTGCCCATCTGCACCCAAAAAAAGGCCGAAACAGCAAATCTTTCACTTTGCAATACTGTCTTTAGGACATATTAATCTTGGGTCTCTTTTACTTCCCTCTGTGGTGGACCGTTGGTTATTTTTTTTATTGTACTTTTTTGTTGTATGTTAATAATATTTTGTTTGTTGCTATGGATATTAATTCGCTTGTATTCTTATTTTTTCTATCCAGTTCTATAATCTCTCTATAATTACCCTCCTAAACCCAGAATTTTCCCCAACAGAATGTTTGCTTGTGCCTCACTAAGGATATGACTTCTATTGCCAGATAATGTACAATTTCTGACCGTAGGTTCTGGCATGCCTTCGTTCGCTTATCAGAAAATGTGTAAATGAGAACTTCACCGGTGATGATATTCTGAAGCTCTTTCCACCTGATCTGCCTCTTGATTTGCAAAGCACTCTTATTCTGTTATTCCAGAAATATCAGGACCAGTGGAAAGAAGAAATGTCCAGAGAGCAGGTGATGCTTCTCTAACTTGTTTATTATAATAGGTACAATATTTATAGTAGAATTTGTTGGATGTGTGTGTGTCTTTGTGTCTTGCATGTGTAGCATATTTGACAATGGGAACATTTATTGGTTGATTTTTAAATTTGAACTCGTAGCTTTGTTAGATTGTTCACGTTACAGACCCACTAACTAGAAGTAGCAGGCTGCACTTTAAAAACAGAACTAGGTGACTCACACGTTCTAAAATTTTATGTGCATATATTTGAAGATTGTAGCCTGTTATGGTATATACTTCCGTTGAAGGCTCCTTGACGTGTTATTGTCATCATGATAGCATTCAATGATTCCTGCCAGTGTAAAATGAAACTAGGGAAGAAGGGATTTTCTGAGAAGAAAAATCTTGTTAATTATTTGATTTTCTCAACATAAATGTTTTACATTGGGAAATGTTTGGTGCAAAATTTTCTTCTATTGTAGTTCTTAATTGAATCTTTGAAAATAATTACTTAGGTTTACACACTTAAAAGTATTTATACTTGCACTACATGCACGTATGTGATTGTTGAGATACGTATTTCTATAATATATTAATACTTGAGGGTAGTTTAATTATTTGTCATTTGCTTCACTTTTCTTAGGGTATCATTGTTTATTAGGTTCTTTTGTATTATGTAATTTTCTTAGGCAATAACTGAGCAGCCATTAAGTCCTTTTTCTCTTTTCCAATCTCTGCTAACATGGTATTAGAGCTTGGACTTTTCTGAAACCATAGTTACCAAAATCATTGTCATCATCGTTGGAATTGTTGTCAACCAGATCCATTGGCAAATCATTTCTCTCCGTTGGCGTTTGACTTCATCGCCAATCAAATTTGAAACACTAGTTGGATGACCTTCCTTTGAACCGTAGCTAACAGCCTCCTCAGTTCACCTCACAATTCGAACCTAGACCATTGGAGCCTCAACGAACAAGTCGAACTAGTTGGAACCTCTTTTCTCTCTTTCGATCATCACAAACTCTTGCCGCCATCAGTCATGGAATCTCCTTCTTCATAATTGAAATTCCAGCCCCAGTGTTCGTCTCGAAAGGAATTGATAACAGATTGTAATGACTTAGTGGGTAGAAGAACACCTTTCCTACTAATAGGACCTGAAAATTCGTTGACTGAGACAATATGTGGTGTAACAGGAGTTGAAGTAGACAAAAGATATGAATTACCAGACATATGAGAGCAAGCTCTGGAATCTATGAGCCAAGGTTGGGGTGAATTGGCTACACATGCAATATTACCTGAATAAGCCAAGGTGGCAGTAAAAGACGAGGGAAGAAATGTTTGGACAAACTCAACATGATTAATAATCTGAGTAGTGAGTGCATTATGAGAATCAAAAGCAGGAGTCACACATCCATGAGTGGAAATTTGTTGTGGCAGTGTAGCACAATGGTTCAGTATGGTTAGTGGAAACACAATGGTCACACATATTACCATGTCCATGTGAACCACCACCGCAAGAACCACCTTGAGAATCAAGCTTACCAAGGCCATCACAAAATCACTGCAAGAACTATCCCCTCTTCAATTGCTAGAAACTAAAGTTGAAGATGCTAGTGAAGAGGTAGTGGGTATAGTCTCACTAGCAAGCAAATGATCTTTAAAGCCCTGCAAATTTGAATCGAATCTAGACAGCCATGATGCAATCATAAACTTTTCCCAAGGTTGCTTTTGTTTTGTTGTTTCAACTCAGTGGTAAAAAGCCTATGTTGTGATAACCGATCTCACAAATTTTTTTGGAGTGCTGTGATAGCCAGACAACTGTTGTCGATACTGCTTATTGGTAAAAAAATCTTCTCACATATTTGAGAAACATTACTTTGATGTGAAAAAGAGTCTGCAAGAGAATCCCAAATTTGTTTAAGAGACTCACAAAGATCAACTTTGCTTTGGGCTTTTGTGTCTAATCCTTTTAGAGGAGTTCTATTTTTCTTGATTTCTAGGGATTGGGCTGCTATTTGCCGTTCCTAGTTTTGGGCTTTTTTGTTTTTGTTTTTGTTTTTGTTTTTGTTGTTGTTCTAGAACTTCTTGTTTGAGGACTCCTTGTCTTTCTCTTTTCTTGATTGTGCTTAATAATATTCTTCATTGCTTTTTCAAAAAAAAAAAGAAAGAAGGGGTTCCAAACTGTAGCACAGCTTCTCACATATTAATCAAATTCCCACTCAACCAATCATCATGTGTGGAATCCCCTTGCGAGGGAGGTAGGACTATAATAAATTTCACTCTTTTTCCTGTGCAGAAATACTTTACTGGCATGTGCCCATGCCAAATAAATCAATCCTTTCAATTTCTTCATGGTGGTCGATTTTGGTAAATCATCATCTTGAAGTAAAGGGAGTTTTGCTCAGCCATAGTAGATCAACCAAGCCAACAAGTTTACAAAAGCAAAAATCCTGTACCAAACCCCATTGTGAACCAACATATGCACTACCAAAGCAAAGGAGGTCCAGACCCAGCCAAGGATAACCAACCAATCAGAGAACAAGGCCATAGGAAGAGCCAAACAATGCAAATAGGGCGAGAACTTGACTGCCAAACACAACTTCTCTCATTGCCAACACCAAAAAAAAACCCAAGACCACCACATCATCAAAAAAACACCAAAAGAGACTTGTACAATGTATTTTGGCCCCATAGAAGGAATCCCAATCATCAAACTGTATGGACCAGTCTACATATTGCGGATCAAAAAATAGGGGTAAAAACCTGAAAATGCTTTGAAATAGAAAAGTTGCAGCAAACAGCCTCAAAAAAAGGAAAAAGAAAAATCACAATAATTATCAGGAGGGAAGGGAGAGAGAATTCAGGGAGGGTACTCACCGGACATTGGCTGTTGATGTCATCATAGGTTGCTGACATCGACACTCTGTTGTTATGTGTCAACAGTCTTTGGAGATCTGTTATGGCTTCTAGGATTGGTATAGCTTTGATACCAAGTTGAAGTGTAAAATACAAAGAGAAGGGCAGAGAAATAAGAGAAGACAAGGAGAGAATTAGACAAATAGCTTTTCGGTATTCTATCAAATCCTCCACCTTAGCACATTTTTATTAAAACAATAGAAGATTAAAATAGTGCCCTTATCACAACATAAGCACTTGAATACTCTAACAGTATGCAAGTGGCTCTAGATTGGCTCACTTGGTTGTTGCAACAATCATGCTGTTGAAAACTTTATCTTACCCAAACTCTGACAGAAAGCTTTGGCATGTTCTTGTGGGGCTACAAGTACAAGTCTACAATTAAGAAATGTCAAAGAACCTGATAAGTCTAGCTCACTTATCAAAACTAAACAAGCAAAAATCCAATGCATTCTATTATGTTCATGTGTTGTACCCTTTCAAGGAAACATTTGTCGTCATTCATGAGTCTACTTAGGTGAGCTCACTAAAGGTCGAGCTCAGCTCGTCTATGAAACAAGTCTTGAAATTGAGATGGAGCTGGGCTCATTTCTGTGTTGAATGAGTTTGAAGGCACACTGACAAGTGTTTTGTGAACTACTCACTTATTTGCAGCCCCAGTTAGATCTAAATCTGACCTCGAATTAGAGAATGCTGGTTCAAGTCTAAGGGCAGACAATTAAAATTTTGCCAATGGTTAGGTTTATATCCAGTCTACCTCTACCCAACACCCTGGCTTGTAGGGGACCTGTATTGGGGAATAGTCTAAATGAGACACCACAAAAATGCTTTGAAAAGGGTGGGACTTGAGAGAGAGCGAGAGAGATGGGAATAGAATGGAAAAGTCCAGGCCCTGGTTGTAAGAGGAGTTATAATATAAACATCAATTCCAATTGTTCCCTATGGTTATGGACATATAATATTTATATATGCTTTGTTCAAAGCATGTTGAGTCCAGCTTAAGATTGCTTGGACTCAGCTCATTATAAAGTGAACCTTAAATGCTGTTCACAGTTGTTTTTATTTTTTATTTTTTCAGTTGAACAAATCATTTCCAAGCTGAGAGCTGCTTGGTTCATTTTCTGGCTCTCTTATTAAAATTTTGAAGCTTAAGTAAATAATAAATATTCGTACATATTATAGATAGTCTTTCAAGATTCTGGAGTCTGATTAGGCAATAATTTTGAAGTGACTTTTGAATTCTGCTGGTCCACCCCATTTTGAATGCCTCTGATTAGGCAATAATTTTGAAATGGCTTTTGAATTCCACTGGTCCACCCCATTTTGAATGTCGAGTTTTTATGTGCATGGTTAACTGTTTACTTACCCTTGTTATTTTTCTGCTGTTATTTGATTATTGTATTGTTCATTTGCAACTTTGCCAGCATCTATTGCCAAGGACTAGTGTCTCCCACCAGGTCAATGTGGGTTTTCTACCTTCTTTCACATCTTTCCCCCTAACAGAAAATTTTGCTTCACTGTGGCCTCGGCAAGATGATCCCATTAATCGGTTTAGTGGAAATGATTTTGGGGCTTCTACACCAATCACTGCTGAAATTAATGTGTCACACATGGCTTCGATCCCTCTCTAGCCAAATGTTGGTCCAACTGACAATCTGGTATGTTGAAATAAAAAGTTAATTTTTACTCCTCATTGCTTTTATATTATTCAATTTAGTGTCTTCATGTTAGTTTGTAATAAGAATGCATTTCATGGAATGTCCTCTTCTTTTGTTTATTATTATTATTATTAATTTTTTTTTTTTTTTTTAATTTTTTTTTTTTTTAATTTTTTTAATTTGAATTTTAATGCTACCTCTGTAATATCCTAGCTTGTCCTTGTAATGTTGTGTGTTTGGCATGGTATCAGAGCTCATATTAGGAGAGGCCTTCGGTTCAAGTCTCTCCATTTGTATTTGTTTCCCTGTTTGCATTTTGTTCCTCTACATGTTTGGATATTTGCATCTCCACATGCAAGATGGAGTTGCATATGTGGGAGGGTATTGGAGAGTTTGATATACATTGTTGGATTCCTTTTCTAACAACTTGGGACTAGTGGTGATCTAACGAAGATCACAAACAATGCGAGAATCTGATTATGAAGTTATAATTGAAAAATGTAGTCCATACTTTTCCTTAAAACCCACATATTAAGGAGAGAGAAACTAAAACCTTATAATCAGTACAGATGAGGCAATTGCAGGCGATGTGAGGCACATTCCAACACACCCTCCTGGACCAGGACATACAGTAGCCGGACAAACGGCACACCAGTCATAGGCCCAACCAAGCTTTGATACCAAATTGAAAGCCCAACCCATATTTATCCTTAAAACACAGGTATTAAGGAGAGGGAAACTGAAGCCTTACAACCAGCACAGATGAGGCAACTCCAGGTGATGTGAGATACATTCCAACAATTATCATATTTTATTTGTGAGTGAAGCATATGAAACCTGTATGATTTGCATTAATTATTTTGGAGAGACGTTCAATGATGCTAGTCTCATTGTGTCATTCCTTCTATAAATATAAAAATAAAATAGATCCAATTGCTAAGCCAATTGTTTAAAGTGTCAAAAGTTTCATGTCATGTGTCAAGAACCCTAATGCCCAGTTGTGAATGTTTTTGAGAGAAATTGAGCTTCTGCCAATATCCTGGATTCAAATTTTGTTCAATTATGTCCAACGATTGAGCACTTCGTAACTTTAATCATATCTCAATTGATGTTCATTTCCATGCAAAATTAAATGTCTTTGTTCCTTTGTAACTGACGGGTGTCATAAGAGACGTGACGTATTTCATTACTTTGATTCTCAAACAATATACTAGACTCTGTAATTTTTTAAGGATGACAAATTTTGTTTGTTTCTTTATTTTTTGTTTGAACTGTGTAGTTGCTTCAGTTTTATAACTGTTACTTGTTCATTAACAAATTAAAAATTGCAAAAAACTAATAAGTTGAGCATCATTAATTTGTAACTACATTCATTGGAGCACATGCATTATTGTATGTGTAGAAGCAATGAAACTTGCAAGCTCACAACAATTTAGTTTTTTAATTTAGAACTGTGTTGTAGCTTTGTCTCAATATCTAATTTTTGTTGATGCAGGGAATTCTACCCCGACTCAAGTCAATGACATGGACCTTAGAGAATCGAAATAAAACACCAACTAATAGAGTTGCTGTCATCAGTCTTAAGGTATTCACATTAACAAAAGTCCAAATAGTGAAGTGCCTATTAGCTGTTTTTTAACTAACATACCAAGATGGTGACAGATTTTAGTTTGATGCATTTTCAAAATTGGGACTCCAGTGGAAGTTTGCATTCTTGGAAGTATATATTACATCAATGGAATGCCTACATGCAGAAAGACAGGCAGAACCTGAAAATCACTGAAATTACTAAAGATACTAAAAAATACTTTTAAAAACTCAAATTTTTATAAATTAATACATGAATATGTGCAAAGAATTCGGAAAAAAATGTTCATACACTCTGACTGTGTCGTGTTTAGTGTTTTATCTTTTACACAACGGGTCCCAAGCTTGGATAAGGATGGTTATGTGTTAGGCAGCCTGACAACAAGCACCTAAACATACCCATTAGATCCTTTACGAACATGAATCCTAATGTGAATATGCAAGTTTGGGTTAGGGCATTCTATGTAAGAGATTCATTGCGCTTGCATTTGAGCATTTTGAAACCTAAGGATATAACCCTTGACAAAGTGGAGAAACAAAAAAAGGGGTTTATGTAGTTGGCCCTACCTGAGTGGGACACAAGGCATAACCATTGACATAAAACAATAGGGCAAACTTCACTTTACCTCCTTTGTGGTTTGGGTCATGTGCGGTTTATCCCCCTAACGTTTAGAAATGTCCACACAACTCCCATATGGTTTGTGGACTAAAACGCAAACTAACTTCTATTAACAGAACAGGTAGATTGACCTTTTTACCCTCGTCTTCTTTCTCTCTCTTCTGAACGAAACCTACACACACACACACACACATTCTTTCTTCTTCCTCCCATTGTTGTCAACTATAGAAAATTCTGTCCCAACTTCGACAAGCACTCAAGCAGCACCTGCACACCAGCAAATCTCTTTACCAATTCTCATTTATTCATGTTGCTTTGGCACTAATGACGGTAATAACACATTGCTTTCACTGACCCAAACAAATTATCTCGACTATGTGTTGTGAAAGAATTGTTTTTTATCTATTAAATACATACATATATATATAGATAGATAGTTTGGCAGCAAAGAAGTATTAGATTTAGACAACTAAAATCAAAGCAAAATAGATAGAAAAAGAGGGTGAGAGATTAATGTCTCACCAGAGGAGTGGAAGACCAAATCTAGGTATTAGCCCTTTTAAAAGTTGTAATTGATTAAACATTTGTCGAACTAGAGAAGAAGAAAAATAGAAATGCAGAAGAATAAAGAAAAATTTCACCGGATTCCATGGTGTGGCGGCTGTTTAGTAGTTTTTCATGTATAATTTTTCTTCTTTTTTTTTTTTTTTTTTTTTTTTTTTTTTTTTTCCGTTACCATATCTGGGTATTGTCTCTTTTAAGAGTCTGTAATTGACTAAACATTTGTTAAACTAGAAAAGAAGAAAAATAGACATGCAGAAGAAGAAAGAAATTTTTTGCCGGAGTCCATGGTGCTACCAACATTTAGTGGCTTTCATATAAATTATTTTGTTTTGTTTTTTTGTTCATGAGTGACCCCTCCAACATTCTACCAATTTCTCGATGGGGGTGCAGTGTATGTGGGTTGGTGAAGTGATTATGCAGTGGGAGTGGTTTGATCATGGGGGAAGCTGCAAGTAGTGGAGGTTGATGAGCTGGAAAAAAGAAAAGAAGAAGAATAAAGGAGGAGAAAAAGAGAAAAAAGGGAAAGCTGCTAATGGCTGAAATGAAAGCAGCAGAGAGAAATAATTGAATGGCATTGTTTATAAATTTGAAGATGTGCAAGGGGTATTTTCATCTTAAAAATAGTGTTACTCTCCCTGTAAGCGCATGACTCACACAATGTGTTATCTTGAACGGAAAAGCTAACTGTGCATTTTAATCCACAAACCACATGGGGGTTATGTGGTCATTTTCAAATGTTAGGGGGGTAAATCGCACATGACCCAAAACACAGGGGATAGAGTGAAGTTTGCCCAAAACAATATATCTGACATTGCACATTTTGTAAGCATGATTCTGTCATCTGTCCAGCTGATAGACCCTATTTCTTTTTTCTTCTGCCTTCCAGCTGCAAGATTATACCAAATCTCCTTCAGGAGAGATGGAGGTGAAGTTTCAGCTTACCAAAGACACCCTTGAAGCTATGTTAAGATCAATGACTTACATCAGTGAACAGCTATCCACCCTCGTAAGCATGCTTTTGTTCTTTTTAATTTATGAGAAATTGTTGAAGAATAAAAGCATCTAAATTTGGATTTTACTGCTTTAATATTTGCGTGTTTCTAGTTTGGTAAACTTCCACTTCTATGTCCAAACCTTTTATTTTGTTTTAAAATTGATAACAAGGTAAATTTTTCAGTAAATAACATGATAGTCTTGTACTGTTGGCCTCTGGCCTCTGCACAAATGACTAGAAATTTCTTTAGTCTTTTTCGCCTCCCTCTGATTGGTTCTGAATGGTTTTCTTCTCCCTCTAATTCATTCTGAATTTGCCTTTTTTCTTCATGTCTCATAAGCCAAGAAGCACAAGCACAGGCACGTGACATGACATGAACAGACCAACATGACAATTTTAAAGCAATGCACAACATGATACGTGGGGACACACTCAAAATATGATTTTATATATTTATTAGATGAATATTGTCTTTCAAAATTAGTAAAATATAAGACATAACACGAATTTCTAAAGATCAAAGGATAATGGATTAATATGGTATAAATCTACATTGTTTTATTTATTTATTTTTATTAGATCTTAAATTATTTTGTTAAAACTTATAATTTATTTTATGTGTCTAAGCAATGGGCACGTGTGTTCCCTAAGTGTCAAAAAAAGGCGTATCAGAGTGAAAAATCTAGAAAAATAATAAGACATGTTTGGACATTTGTTTGACTAGCGAACACATAAACGTCACTTGAAAACATATTTTTTACATACATAATTTATTCAAAAACTGCAAGGAGGGATGAACGTTAGTACACCATGTATTTAAATGGCTATAACCCCTCACCTAAGCAAGCTCACCCAAAAAGTCAACTAATGAAAAGGAAGATTCACGAAAAATTTTAAATATGGAAAAAATTAATCGAGGAAGCTTTTGATCAATGAGTGGGTAGCTGCAGCTCCTCAAAAGTGAGTCTATTACATTCCGTCCATGCACATGCTTTGATGATTCTCTTGGAAGGCAATTCCATCTCCAGGACTGATAAAAGGTACTAACTGAGGCCAGCATAACCCAAGTAGCACCAAAAATGGTTAACAGCAAATTCCATAACTATCATCACTTGACAATGAGAAGCAATTGGTGCACGGACTGCTCTGCAGCACATAGAACACCAGTTAGGAAGCAAGAATGCTCAAAAAAAATAAATAAATAAGAGTTAGGAAGCAAGTTCCTTCTCTGAAGATGTCAACTCATGTCAACAGTTACTAAATAGATTCTATTACTACTATTGTTGTTGTTGTTGATAAAGATAAATGGAAAAAAAAAAAAAAAAACCTCCTAAAACTGGAATATGTGAGGTCATGACCAAGTAAGTTTGCAAAACCAAGAAACAGGGAGAATTAACCAAGAAGTTTATACAGTAGTCTCTCTAGAATACTGATCCATCTAAACTTTCTACGGCAGAATCTCCCCTGTTTGTGACGATTTCTGTTACATCGATGGATGATCTAGAAAAACACTGAAAAAAGCAACCAAGAGCCTGTAAGAACTAAATATGAATTTTCTTGACAGTTGGAATACATCACCTATGAATCAATGACTTTCAGAATCATCTCTATATTGTTGAATGTCTTTTGCCCAATTGCCGGCAATCTTGCTCTTTGACATCTTCCCATTTAGTTTCTCTAAGGCCTGGAATATATGCCTTCTGTTTAGCTCTGGTGGTGTGCTTCCATAGATAAGGTAAAGATAACATTATCATATCAACCAATTGAGCTTATCTTCCCAACAAATTAGAAATTTGGATCAGCAGCAGCACATAAAAGTGTACAACATCTAAAGGCATTGGTCTAAGGCTTTTGTCCTTTTATGGCACTATTAACTGTTTATGGGGCCATGTGGAGGTTTTGTAGTCATGCCAAGGATGTGATGTAACTCCCATTAGAGAGAGCAATGCCTGAGTTGAGCTTTCTTAATTTTCTTTGCCTTAAATTTTATGCATCACTTGGGCTGATCCTTTTTTTTTGTCCTTAAATCCATATTGATACTTTATTTTTGGGCATAATCTAATTTACATGGTAGCAAACTCATTAAATCTTGCACAGAATTTGTTAATTGGTCTCTACTACAAAGAAAAAAGAAATAACAGGAATTTTTTTTTTTTGTATTGTGCTGTTTTTTCTTTTTCTTTTTTAAATATTTATTTTCTGTTTTGGTTAGGTTGGATCTTCTACGGAGCCCTTGCAGAAGAAACAGAGGCAGTGATCATTTTGCTTTTGTAATGTCGTAGTCATGATCAAAACACTATATTGCTGGCTTGAAATGCATGCAAGTGCCGTTTCAGCAGCAAGGAAAAACACAAATCGCAGGTGGCAACTAGCATTTGTGCCCAATGTTAACAGTTTGTATATGTTATTTTTGAATGCCCTCAAATTCAAATGTAATGATCAAATTTGTTTATATATTACTATTGGTGCGATGATTTGCCAAGTCCAGGAGAGCAGTAGTTCTATCTGCTTAGAAGTATTTCATAAAGGGCAAGGGAGCAAGCAGATATTGAATTTTATCTGTTTGGTGCTCATAATTGATTTCATCTGTAATCTAACACCTAATTAGGAGGGCAGGCGTTGAACCCAACATGGTGTTGAGTTCGAAGATATATTTTACACGCACACACGCGCACACACACACACACACACACACACACACACACACCAGTCAATATTCTTTTCATCGTGTAACTGATCACATTGAGGCCGTCGAACTCCCTTCATCTGAGACTGTTATCTCCTACCCTAACATCATGTGGGTATTCCTCGTTGGATTCAGTGGCTGTCATACATGTCTAATGACTTTCTTTGTCCATTCGTTATTGTTCTCATTGCCATCACATGGGCATCTGGAGGAACCTATAGTCTTTGTAGGTTCCAAAATCAATTATCTGTAGGAATAATGAGGCTGTTGGAAGTAAGATTATATTGTCAAAGATATCAGAATATATAGAAGATATTAGAATATGTGGTGATTCCATGATTTGTACAAAGGGGAGTGTTTAAAATCTGAATGCGAAGGACTTGAACTCAAAAGTTATTCTGATATCTTTGACAATACAAACTTATTTCCAACCGAAGCATGGTGTTGGCCAAAACCTCTCTGATGCTAAAATTAGCTATGTACCTTTTTTAAGGAAAGGAGGGATTTTAAGCAAGATGTTAGGAGGGTGTCATTTTTGTAGGTCAATTTTGTGCTGTTGGCACTATAGTGAATTTCAAAAGAGTTTTTGTTGGGACCCTTGTCTCAACAATCTCATGTGACAAACACATTTGAGTTGTATTCGCATTCGTTTAGTTGTAATGTTGTGAGGTTCTGAGTGCGTAGCTGTGAATCCATTCATGATTGATGATTCTTCAAACTCATCACCTTCAACTGCTTGTGCAAGACCTCATGGACTGGTTGAGCAACCAAAGGTGCGCTTGAGCGGACTTTCCAGCCTTGCAGCATCTTAGCCTGTGGACTGAGATCCTGCAAGCTTTGCTTGACTACTCAAGATACCAATTGTGCGCTTGAGCGACTTGTGAAGCTTGCAGTTTTTGATACTGAGTTTCTAAGATATTGAAAGGTTGGATTCACCACTCAAGCGAAGTTTTGTGCACTCAAGTAAAGAGTCAGTTTCTCAAAGTATCTTGGTAGTTCAAAGTTTGTTACAACTACCTTTCTAGATACACTGTTTGAGCGGTCATTTGTGTGCTCGAGTGGTCTAAGCAACTTTGCTAGTTGAAACCGCCTTAAATTTCTAAATTTGTTGTTAACTCATCCAGCTCTCTCTAGAAGACATAGAAAACAGGAAGCGACTTCCATGGGAGTTTTATTGATTTCCTCTTGATAATTCATAGAGATTTTCACTTGTCTCTTGGATTGACATGTATACATCAAGAGGATTATAAAGAATTCTCATCTCAAGCAATCACCTGGTGGATTCTGAATCTAGTTTGACGGTTATGGATTCAACTTCAACAATTGACAAGTTCAAGAAGAAGAGTGGGTGGTGAAGATTGTGAAGAGTATCTGGTCAATCATCTGTGGATTCTAATGAAGGTAGATTAGGCGTGAGATCTGGTTGTGATCTTCCTTTCTCTTCATAGTGGATTTATCTAGCCTTTGGCTCGTGATTTTTTGGCAATATCAATTGGTGGATTCCAATTGGGATGTCATTTACACGTCAAAATCGTTGGTGTTGATTTGTTAATTGTTTTGGTTTGATTTAAATCAATTTCAGCTACGATTGTTTATTTAGATTAAACTTTGTTTGGGTAATTGGTAAATTGATCATAGCCATATTTCACAAAATCTCATCACTTGACTTTTTCAGTTTTGACCCTTCTTTTTTCATTAATATTTTTAAATTGTATTATTCAATGGTTTCTCACATAAAGTCAGAAACTAAATTTGCTTTATAAAAATATTTGAGTGATAAATTTTTGTTAGTTGTGATTATCGATGATCGAACAATTAACATGATATGCAAGTACAATCATAAAATGAACGCTGTTGATGGGGGCGATTATTGTTTTTAAGTGATGCAATATCCCGCTATGAAGTCGTCTTTTTCTTCCTCGGCAACAGCATTTCAATGTGGCAGTCAACACAAAGCTAGCATTCTATTTTCTGCAAAACAGCTCCTGTAATAGTAATAACTAAAACAAAACAAAATCAGAAAATATTCAAAAGCAGAAAATGTGCAACCATACGGTCTCACAGTTTTCTGGAAACAATAACAAAACACGATACCTGAAGGGCCTTAGCCAAAGATAGAAAAACGATTACCTCCACATTTTCTTTTCATTTCCGTCACCAAAATTTGCAAACAAACAGTACCTTTTCACATACCAAAACAAGCTTAACCATATATCGATATCCACATGAAATATTCAGAGGAAAAACAAATTGCACAATACGTTTTTAGAAAACACTCAAACCGCAACCTTTTTCAACAATTTAATTTACAACATGAAAGGAAAAACGATCTCTCTCCCAACAAGCCTCAAACTGTTTACTTCGAAAAATTCAAGAACTGAAAACAAGAAAATTTCACACTTCAAGAAATCAAACCAAAACTCATTCTTGAAGGAATAAATCAGTTAAAGATGTTACCTGAAAGGAAATGAACAAAACCCGATTTCTCTTATCCAAAACACAAAAAAGTAACCAAACTAGAAGACCAAAACTCCCATTAAAGAGGAAAACTCAAACACCAAATTCCTTTCTTTTTTTTTTTTTTTTTGCCTTTTTCTTTTACCTGCATTTTCACTCTCTACTCAGAATCACTAGAGCTCGAGCTAGAGCTGGAGCTGGAGCTGGACTTATGAGACTTTTTCTTCTTACCTTTGTCACCAGACATGTTCAAATTTAAATCATCAAACTTTTGAACTCCATGGTCTGGTTGTTCAGTGGAGGCGTTTGTGCTAGTTTCTGGTACACTGGGCTCTTTGATGCTTGATTCAATCTCTTTGGCAGAACCCACTTCATTTGATTCACTTTCTTCCGAACCATCTTTAAAATCTGACTTCACGAGCTTGTCTACACTGGGCTCTTTGATGCTTGATTCAGTTTCCTTGGAGGAACCCACTTCATTTGACTCACTTTCTTCCAAACCATCTTTTAAATCTGACTTCATCAGATTGTCTACACCGGGCTCTTTGATGCTTGATTCAATCTCCTTGGAGGAACCCACTCCATTTGACTCACTTTCTTGCGAACCATCTTTAAAAGCTGACATCACAGGCTTGTCTACAGTTGGCTCTTTGATGCTTGATTCAATCTCCCTGGTAGAACCCACTTCATTTGATTCACTTTCTTCCGAACCATCTTTAAAATCTGACTTCATTGGCTTGTCTACATTACCTTCTGAGGCCGGCTTTAGATCCACATCAGCAACCAAGTTTGAACTAGTTTCTTCTGGATCTTTGGATTCTACAACATCAAGCCTGTCATATACTGAACTAGGCTCGCTTTGGCTTTCGACATGCAAGTCTGAATAGGTTTCTGCTGGATCTTTGGATTCAACATCGCGCCTGTCATCAACCGAACTGGGACTGTTGGATCTCTCATTGTCGTGAAGCTGTTTAAAAACCAAATTAATATCTTCAATTGATCTTGCTTCAACAACTGGTAACTCCATCTTGGTGTCTGCGAGACTCGAATCTTCATTGGACATCCCATGTTCAGAACACTCAGCTTTAGTTTCTTCAACAACATCCTTTTTAATTTCTTTGTCACTATCTTCAAGTGATTGTGCTTCAAATTCTGCCATCCCAGAATTGATCTCTTCTTTAATTTGACCCGTGTGTGGTATCTCAATCTCAACTTCAGTTTTTATTGCCACCGGTTCAGTTTTCTTAAAAATGGAATCAATATCTTCAAGTGATTGTGCTTCAACAAGAAGCATCTCTGAATTCATCTCTTCTCCAAGAATTCGGTTATTTTCAATCTCATTCAAGTTTGATCCCAACTCTTGGACGCTAAAATCGCCAACTGCATCCAATTCCATTAGTAACCCTTCATCTATCTCCTTGATCTCATCAGCCTCTTCCATCATATCTTGTTCACGAACCTGAGAACCAATCACTTCCTCAGGAAAATTGAAGGGTTGAACTGGAATGTGGTCTTGATTCCCAACTCCAGCAAGGTAATCATCTTTCAAATCTGATAAACTTCTTGGTGATCCGGTACCAGAGACTGTAGATGAGTAGATATTTGAAGAAACTTTGTTTTCGGGCTGGACTTCTGAATCCACAATAGACTCCACATGAATAATTGGTTGTTCCTGATTGATTAACAGAGTAGTGATCGTTAATATTGTTTATTCAATATGTCAAACTTTAAAATATGCTTCAAATGAATGCATCAAACATGCCAATGTGACCACACATACAATAACAATTTGCAGTCTTGATAATCATACCATGAAAGATTAATCGAAGAAACAAGTCACATATATAGAACCAATATGTTGTGTATAACACAAGCACATGTATAAATAAAAAATGAAAGAAGCATGCATTTTCTTAAAATACAAATACATACAAGACACTCCTCGGTATTTACAATCAGTGTGCAATAAGCATCGACACCACCTGGGTTCAGGAGTGGGGTACTCGCGTAAGCACAAACATTCAAGTCTGTCTTTATCTCAATAATGTGCAGAAATTTAGGACTGTCAAAGCCTATTTTCAAAATCACCTGATGTGACATTAGTTTATTGACTTTATTCTTCAAGCTTGAAGGTGGCTTGCCTAGCATGGATGGGGCCCTAGAGGACCCAAGGATGTGAGTTCTAATCCATAGGTCCCAATAATTAATAGATTATTAGTATTAGAACATTGAAGTTTACATTCGCCCTTAAATGGTGCTCCAAGGGATGTATAGGAAAAATGGATTCACAGGCCTGACCCAATCACAATGCCAGTGGAGCCGCCAAGCTACAGGTCCATATCAGAGGTGCTGCACACCTAGCCCAGCATGTTATCAGCAACGATTTCATCATTGGTTGAGAAATGTGTCACATTGTGACGTCAACTCTCTCTGACATGCTTTTTGGTCCAGCCAATATGAGAATGCCACCATTGTGAGCCCCCATCGCTCCAGTCCAACACCACCAGGTATCCCTGAGCCCACATCCCTTACCAAAATGTACAGGATAATGATGAACACCAAAGCCTTCTAAGAAGATAACATGTTGGACACGACACTAACACAACAGGACACTTGTCGGACACTTTCCAATACTTCAACACACATAAACATTGTACAAGTTTGAATAAAATAACTTACAATTCAATGATAAAACAAAAATAATATAAATTTATACCTATTCTCCTCTTTTCGCCTTTTAAAATTATTAGCTTTGACTTGAATATTGATATATATGATACATAATAATTATTTACCCTAAGCCAATGACCTTGTGGCATGGGTGCAACAATTAGGTGCTTGCAAGGGTGAGGCTGCGGGGTTCAACTCCACCAAGATGCTAATCTAACAACTAATAACTGACTTTCACCGATAAAATATAAATATACTTACCCTCATATATGTTATATAATAAATATATAAAATTATATATCTGCACGTATTCCCCAAGTGCCGTATCTTACATTTTTTGAAAATTTCCATATCATCATGTCCGTGTCCAAAACCAAGGTAGGGTTCCCCAAGCCTTGTACCTGACTTGGGCGGGGCATCAAGTCTGACACTTTCTTATACTTTCATCAAATTTATCCTGGAGACATGACCATCGAGATGGCAGTCCTGAATGACTAGTTCTTGGAAACACTCTCTTACAAGCTTTGATACCAAACAAATGTGGGTTTGGTAAAAGGAAACTGGATGGTTTACGGCTCCTGAAGGCACAAGAAAGGTAGTCAGGTAATGTTTATGAATTAGAAGGGACTACAACTTATTTGGTTATTCAAAAGTGCAGGTTGCCAGATTTTCGGAAATATTATGCTGGAAGTACCAAACTGCCACTAAATTAAGGTTTTAAGTAGAAGGCCCAGTAATACGGGAAATGATGGCAAATAATTTAGTACTGATCTGGTAGAATTTTAGTCTGAAATATGGGCTGTTTGGAGACTGAACAGTACTATGAGAATGGTAACTTTGCTAGTTTTTCCCCCTTAAAGTAAGTAATTTGGTTGCTAATTGACGGAGGGCTACACCTTGAAATGCGTTAAAGAAAATCACAAAACATAACTGCAAATTATGCATAAATTTAGGTCTTCTGAATGGGAAGCTTACATGCATATTATAAGTTGCTATGTTTCTTGATCTTCTTAATTTAGCCCCAAATCAATCGCTGGACAGCTTTAATACTGATAAGTAATTGATTATTACTGATCAGGGATGCCAGACAAAGGCTTTGGGGATTATTATATGGCTTATAGAGGCTGAATACTGAGTTTAGTAACCAGTGAGCAGGTCAGCAAATGCAGAGAAATCTTTAGGAGAATGAGAGGAGAAGAGGTAAAGCCTAGGCACTCACACACTGGTTCTTAGGTAATCTCTCCCTAAGGGATGATGTACCACACAAACAAATAAATAAAAAAGTGCTGAAAGAGTTCTTCATTTCTTCATTGCTTTGCACAAACTAATACATCACAAATATATTGGTGGATCAGGTTATTGGAGTGGCCCGAGCAAAGAAGGGAAGAGCCGAGATTGTTTGCCTCAGCCCAGCTAAGATCCAACCCTTGGGGCTGAGCTGAGCCGGTGATTAAAGGATGACCCGTGAGCTGGTCTAGCTGGCATGATCGTGCAGATGGTCATAACAAAATGTCGTCATCATGACATGTAAGCACAAGAATCAAAGGGAATCTGGGACGTCTGAAGAGCACGTGGCAAGTTGGCAACCCTACATATATATATGGCTCAGTGGCCCTTAGAGAGATATGTTTGTATATTATGTCTTGTACGTTCTTACTTAGTTTTGGCTAGAGAGTGTGAACTGGCTTGACCACTGGAGGTTCTTTGGCTGGTACCACACCGGTACCACAAAGGACTGACACGAAATAAGTAGGAATGCTCGCTAATGTGCTCTTAATCAATGTCAGCTTCCCCCCTTTGGATAAGTACTGCCACTTCCAACCTGCCAACCGCCACTGAGCCCGTTCCACCAACCCATCCCAAACCCCCTTTGCCTTAAAAGTAGCTCCTAAAATCTTCAAAGCCATATCTCCATCCTCAGCAGCTTCCCTCCCATCTCCCAAACTGGCATCACAGCACTTCACATCGCTTGGTTCCCCACCTCTACCTTTGTCAATCTATTCAGACCAAAAAAGTCGCCCAATTTAGCCGAGAAACAAGGCCCTTCCCCTTTTTCAGAATAAGAAGGAACCCCGTCCTCTCTCCACTTCACCTCCTCAGAGTCAGAACCAAGCACCCCCTCTTTGCCCAACTCAGACTGCAACAAAAAAACCTATGTTGGGCTGCCCCAAAAAACCCCTTTTGAGCATTATAGGACATACAAGGTCAATACTTATTGATTGAGCATTCTCATGTTTGGCAAGTCTAATAACCACCACCATGGTTTGGAAAATATATTAAGCACAGACATTCATTATTTAATCAAATTGGAGCATTGTCATGTTTGGCAAGTCTAATAACCACTGATTTGGAAAATATATGAAGCAAAAGCATTTATAATAAATTGTTTGATCACTGAACCAGTTTAATATGAAATCATTACTTTAGTTCTGGGTAGGAAAAGAGCCAACATGATGTAGCAGTAAGAGCAAGAAGAATAGAAGAAGAAGAAGAGACTGGGGAACGCAATCCTAGAACAACTCTCAATAATCAGTTATCAATATTCATCAAAGTCTCGTCTAAAACATTACATAAAATCCACATATATAGGCATTTAATGTCCTTTCATTTCCGTTCACAAAAGTTCCATGGTTTATACTGGCAATGCCCCAGGGTATTCCAAGTGACTTTCTCAATGGAGACGCAAGAAAATCTTATAGGCTACGGAGTGCTTCGAAGTAAGTTACCTTATTTGTATTTTGTATCACAACAGGCAATTTGCAAGAACAGTGATAAAGATAACCAGTGCAACAGAAATGAAAAATAAAACACAAAAGGAGAGAAGGAGATGGATATAAAATGCTAATATTAAGAAAATAAATCATGCTCAATAATTTAATGACTTACTCGCAATTCTTCATGATTTTCAGAAGATAATTCAACCATAGCTTTGTCTGACAACGGCGGCTGTTCCTCCAACTCATACATGGGTTTTTCTTCACAAACACTTTCTGAATGTGTGGACAACTGCTCCTCATTTGCTTCTTGGTCAATGCCAACATGGAAATTTGCATCAGAACTTGATGAGTAGACTTGATCTTGTTTAATCCGAAGAGCTCCTTCTTCATTGATTGTATGTTCTTCTATTGATTCATTTTCAGAAGAAGATGCAACAGGGTGAATACCTGTAACTTGCTCATAAACCACTGAAGGCTGTTTCTCCTTTGGAGCCGTCACACTTAAATCTTCAGAAGATGTATGTTCAGAACTAGAAGCCAAATCCTGACCTAAATCTTGGTGGACTGCAACATCGATATTTGTACCAAAGCTCAACGAGGGAACTTGGTTCTGTTCATGCTGATAACTTCCATCCTGATAGATCAGACGGTCCTCCACTGCTTCAGCGCCTGAAGATGGTTTTAAGTCAATTGAAACATGCTCAGCAACAGCTTCAGGCACTATTGATGCATTTGCACCATCTAATTTTTGGTCATCTCCTGAGAACCCACGATTCAAAGCAATGTGCTCAGCTTTCTCAGAAATCCCACTTGTTACCAATTCATTTTTATCCACTGGATGTACCTCTGATGAGTCTGCTAAAATCTGTTCATTACTAGGAGTATCTGATGCTTTGCTTTGATTACCCACATCAGATTTTCTATCTGAAAAAGACTCAGTTCTTTTAACCAACTCTGGTGCAAAACCCATTTCAGATGATTCTACTGGCAGGTCAGAGGACATGGAGGAAGAAGAGAGGTTCTTCTGAACCGCCGGTGGGCTTGAATCATAAACAGGCTCCTTGTGTTGACTGTCATCAACCAACCCAATGGTAATATTGAAGTCTGACTCTTCTAACGAACGTTGATTTGATATGCCAGACTCCTCAATAACATTCTCTTTTTTAGGCTCCAAACTTGTCGACACTTCACCTTCTTTCTCATCAAAGATCCTTTCGTGTACTTCTGACAATGATGACAAGCTCGATCTACTACTGTAATTAACTTCATCAGATCCTGTATTCAGATGAGTTTCACCTGCACCCTGTTCGTCATGAGTAGCTACATCTCTTGTTTCAGAAATGCTAGACACCATTTCAAGCTCATCATGCTCAGTGCCTATCTTCTCAGATTGGCATAGTTCCACAGAATCGGCATTTTCAGAGGATTCGCTTCCATGTCCAACATGCTCAGCAGGGTGCTCTGTATCTGATATCTGCTCTGCTTCTTGAGATAAATCTTCTTCAATGAGCTTCGTATCATCCTCGTCCTCAGCTGAACCGACAACATCTACATCTTCAGAGGATTCACTTCCATGTCCAACAAGCTCAGAAGGATGCTCTACATCTACATCTGAGATCAGCTCTGCTGCTTGAGAAAATTCTTCTTCAATGAGCTTCTTATCATCCTGGTCCCCAACTGAACAGATTGAATCCGTTTCAGGAACAGAACTCACCTTCGAATCACTAAGCTCGCTCGATTGCCTTTGAAAAGAGGAATAGCTAGTCCCTTCTGAAGCCATCCGTTCTGGTACAAAATAGGGTTTAAACTTGATATCTTGCTTCTCCTGCTTAGGAGGCCCAAAGAACGATGGTCCCACATTAAAACTTTCATGCCTACGGAAGAACACCTCCTTAGGAGCAAATGGCATAAACTCTTGTTCAAAACCATCTTCCATGAGATTGGGTTTCTCTTCACTCGAATCATAAGGAAGATCAAAAGGGTTACGTCTTTGTAACATAATAGAAGGAGCAGAGCCAGGAATGGGCGGTAATCCCATGTTGTCATTGGAATCAAAAGGTAGATCAAAAGGGTTGCGCCGTGTTGTTGAAACAGGGGTAATATTGAAGGGAAGATCGGAACTTTCCAAGTCTATCAAGTTCTTCTCGGTCATCATCCTCCGTACCCTTCTTCTGGCAATAAGACTCTCCAGCCGTTGGTTTCTTTCTAGCTCAGAAGTCCCCAAATCCATGAGATTCTTTTGATCATCATCAGTCCATGTGATAACAGACTTCACTGCATCATCTTTGTCACCATGTGTCTCTTCTTCCTCTTCATCATCATCATCCTCATTATCATCATCATCACCAGCTTCCTGGTCTTGGTTTTCATTATCCTCGTTGGAGTCATTAGTGCAATTGCTTGATCTCTGAGACCGCTCTGAACCGGCATCAGAGCCATCATGAGACATATGAGTAGGTTGAGGAGCATCTTCATCTAAAAGGGGATGGAGCTCATCGAGCATTGGAATGATGTCAGTCATTGAAGCATCAGGAGAGGAACTCTCAGCCCGATCAGACCCAGAATCTGAACCCTCATCATCCACTTCCTCCTCCTCCTCCTCCTCCTCTCGTTTCCACAGTGAACTTGGAGAACTGTCTGCACGATCTGCCATACGAGAATCAATGGATTCTATTGGTGATTGGTCACGTTGCAATTCAACATTTTCATCTTCCACATTTTCAATCCGAGAATACTGATTCTCAAAAAATTCCCTATCGGCAACTATCTCTTTAATCGTTTCAGCATTTGTTTTCAATCCCGAGTAGTGTAATTCTCTATCTGCTTCCTCAATCACCGGCTTCTCTAATTGAATTTCCCGGGAATTCTCTTCAATCAGTGGTGCACCATAAACCAAATCACCATCACTTTTATCAACTTCACTGACCATATCTGCTGCAGAACTTGCTTCTTCAATCGGCTTCTCTACTACATCCCTTCTCTTCCCAGTGTACTTCTCTACCACAAAACTTTCATCTCTCTCAACAACAGTGTCATCTCTTTGAATCCCAGTTTTCAGGGACGCAATCTCATGAGTTGTTGTCTTCTCTTCCTTCTCAATTTCAGGTATATTCGTTTGCCCAAAACTCAAGAGAGTTCCAAGCAAAATAGCAGTGCAAACAAGAACAGGGGAAGCAGAAACCAAAAGGGAAAACAGAAAAGGAAATGATCTGTGCAGGAAAATCAAAACAAACACCAAACCAACAAGAAATGGATGATTACAAACCGATCTGTAAAATGTTCTGATCGAATAGATCACAACTTTCCTGATTTGAACTCCAATCTCCATAATCTCAACGCCCATTTCTCTATCTTCTTTTCTCACTCCAAAAACCTTCTCGTTTCCAATCTGTTCCATATGGGAAATCGAATTAGGGACACAACCCAATTCAATTAGATCAAACCCAAATCAGTTCCAAGACAAATACAGATAGAAAAGTGATTGGAAGCTAATCTGAGCACAAACCCACCTCAAAAAAACAAAAAAACAAAAACAAAACTTTTTCTTAAAGAAACCAAATCAAAAGAGAATCAAAAGATTCAGATGACAATCAATTCAGCACCTGAAGAGCAATTGCTTGATGGGTTGTAGTGAAAATCTTGTGAGTGATGGAAAAAGGGAGAAGAAATGGAGAGAAATGACTTACCAGGGTTGAGGAGTGCCCAAAAAAGCAATATAGAATCCTCTGCTTTGCACTTTTTCCTTCTTCCTTTTTTTTCTTGTTTGCTTTTTGAATCAGCAACAGCTAAATCCTTACATGAATGCTCTGTTGTGTTGTGTTGTGTTGTGCTTTGTTGAGTTTGTGTATTCACATTCAGAATTTGACAGATGGAGATTGTGAAAAAAAGGAGGATTGGGCGGTACCGAAAGAAGAGAGAATTGAATAAGAAAAAGGAAAAGTTGCTCTCTCTCTCTCTCCTCTCTCTTACTTTTTATTTATTTTATTTTATTTTTTTTATTTTTATTTTTATTTTTATTTTGATTTCAGAGGAGATATTCTTAATCACACTGTTATGGTGATCCCATACATCCATACCTCAATCTTGGCCGTCAGATTTGAAATAATGGTTACATTAACGAAGTGTTAATAGGTGAGGTTACATTAACAAGGTGTTAATAGGTGATTTGAAAGTATTATTGTATGACAAAGAGCTCCTTTGAAAAGTTGATTATTTAGCAACTTTTTTTTTAATTTTTTGGTAAATTATAAATACGTTTCTTGAAATTTATTTAAATTATAGATTGTTTTTTATAATTTAAAAAATTAGAAATATCCTCTCATTAAATTTTTTTATTTAACAGAATTAACTAAAAAAAAATTTATAATTACTTTCTAATACAATAATAAAATTACTTAAATTATTAATTAAAATATATTTATAATATCTTAAAAATTATTAATTAACTTGATAATTTATTAATAAAATGGACGATTTGTTATGAAATTAGAAATCTTAGAAGGTGGAATGTAATTTTCAGAACTACATGGGGTGATTTATATTTTAATCAAGTCTTAGGAGTGTATTTTTAATTTACCCTAATTTTTTTTAGTTATTTTAGACTGGTTAAAAAATTTATATTTGAGAAGTTGGTTCACTTGTGAGAAAAAAAATAAATAATTATGGTTTAAATATGATATTTTTTCTTAAACCTTATTTGGCATCTCCTAAATAAATGTACTTATTTGAATCATATCACCTCTTTATTTTTTTGCACATTTTTTGATAGTGCTATATGCACCAATTAATGTACACACTAGTATACCAATTAGTATTATACCATTATTATTAACCTCACTTATTATACAAATTATAAATACCGAAAACCTTTAAAATTATGTCACATCATCTATTAGTATACTAGTTAGTACATTAATTAGTACATATAGTGTTATTTCATATTTTTTTATTAAAATTTTAAAAATACATTTATTTAGATCAATCTAAACAATCATTTATTGACTATTATAACTTATTTTTTATTAGCTATTTTAAGGGGGGGATCACTGCCAAACAACATATCCTTTTCAAACTCATTTGTGTTCTAGAAATTTTAAAAAAAAAAAAGAAAAGATTATGAAATAATAATTCTAGTATTATGTTTATCATTTTATTTTTTTTAGATGGGTGTTTATCATTTTATTCATCAATATAATATTAGCATAATGAGTCTTAGCACTAATAGTCGTAGCATTACTCATTATAAAAATAAAATAATATGTGAAAAATCGACACACACGAGGCCATACATTAGTTAGTCTAAAATTTAATCTTTTTTTTTTGTGATAAAGACATGTTTAATGAAATTATTGAGTGAGAAGGACAATTTTTAAATTTTTTTTTCCAATTGTACCCTCACCACCAGACCTACCGTCGGTCGATTGCCAAAAAAGTCACTAGCGATGGCAGATGGTGGCGGCGGCGGCGGCGGTAACGGTGATAGGTGATATAAATAGATAAATAAATTAAATGAACAGATAGGTGACTTATTAATAAATAGTAGGTTGACACATAGATAAATAGATGGCGTGAATAAATAGGTGAACAGTAAATAAATAGTCAATTCGGTAGGATAAAATGATCTTCCTAATTAATTATAATTATATTTTTTGCCTTGACCTCAGTATCATGTAAAAAATGACAATAAATTCAATGAAAAATATTTAAGTAATGATAAGTAACCATATATTTTTATTATTTTATCTCATCATCTAATATGTTGGTTTAATTGACAGCACTGTATTGAATATATATATATATATATATATATTTGTGATAGAGGACCCATTATATGATATGTTGACAAATAAAATGATAAATATAATACTGTATAAAAATTGAGAGAGCGTAACATTATTGAAAATGTTTTCAAATTAATGAAAAATGTATTGTTTTTTCATTTTTTTTTTATTATATCTATTTAGCAAGATCCATGCTTTATTAATGCCCACAAATCCTAAACTTTGTTTGTTGCTGTTTATTAAGCTACATATACGCGCGCACACACACATACAAACTGTATAAGAGTATTTGATGCAATTTTTGCATATAGTAATTTATATAAGAACATTTGATATAATTTATACTTATAATTTATGAAATGTGAATAACTTAAATAAATTAATTATTTAGAAGGAGGAGTGATTTTATTTTATGTTTTTTGATTATCACTTTTTAACTCTAGAAAAGTTACACTAAATAGACCTATAGTAAAATTATTAAATCCTTGTTTGGCAAGTGAGTTGAGTTTAGGTTGGGACTAAAAAAAGCACAAAAAGATAAGATAGGCTAAATAATTCATTAAGATAAAATATTATATTCAAATCATAATTATTTCATTTTTTTCTTTCACAAAAAATCAAAAAATTCTTTCCAAACTGAAAATTAGCCAAAAGGCCAAAAGTTAGACTAAAAAATTCTTTCTAAACCAACCCTAATCTTAGGACATTATGTGATATTATTTAGTGCTCGACAAATCTATCTATATATTATATAAGTAAAATGAGATCTTGTGAGAGTTTCAATATCTCATATTAATTTTCTTATTGTTAAACAATTAAGAAAATCTCTATTGGCTAGCTTCTATTTAATCATATAAAAGTAAAACTCTAATTAGTTTATGATTTATGTGATAATCTCACATCGGGAAAAGAAAGAAAAAGTGAGTTGTTTCACTTATATAAAGTGAATCTTATACTCTCATTATATTGTAGTGCTGTGCATCTTTCAATTCAATATAGTTTAAATTTTAAAAAAATTAATTAATTAATTTTTGTATAAGTTGGTTGGTCTTTTGACTTAACTGATTAGGCTTAATCATTTTTGGTTTGATTGATTCGTTGGTTTAACTGCGATTTTAGCGGTTTTATCAAAATATATTGGTTAGATTTGTTTGATTAGAAATAAACAAAAGATTGATTTGAATAAAGATCGAACGACTAAGATTACTTAGTTAGAAATAAACTTTTCGTCCAAACAATTGTTAACTTTTATTTTATAATCTCATATCAGGAAAAAGAAAAAAAAATGAGTTATTTCACTTATATAAAGTGAACCTTATACTCACATTTAATATTGTAGTATTATGCATGTTTTAATTCAATACAGTTTAAATTTTAAAATTAAAATGACATTTAAATTTTTTAATTAATTAATAGTTGTATAAGTTGGTTGGTCTTTTGATCTAGCCAATTAGGCTGAACCGTTTTCGATTTTATTGATTCATTGGTATAACCGCGATTTTAGTGGTTTTATCAAAATATATTAGTTAGATTTGTTTGACCTAATTAAAAATTAAATGACTGATATTGTTTGAGTCGAATAAACTTCCCCCGAACAATTGCTAATTTTTATTTTACGCAATCTTACATCAGAAAAAGAAAGAAAAAAGTGAGTTGTTTCACTTATATTCTAGCCAATTAGGCTGAACCGTTTTCGGTTTTATTGATTCATTGGTATAACCGCGATTTTAGTGATTTTATCAAAATATATTAGTTAGATTTGTTTGACCTAATTAAAAATTAAATGACTGATATTGTTTGAGTCGAATAAACTTCCCCCGAACAATTGCTAATTTTCATTTTACGCAATCCTACATCAGAAAAAGAAAGAAAAAGTGAGTTGTTTCACTTATATGAAGTAAACCTATACTCCCATTTAATATTGTAGTATTGTGCATGTTTCAGCTGAAGACAGTTTAAATTTTAAAATAAAATAAAATTTAAAAGTTTTAATTAATTAATTTTTGTGTAAATTGGTTGGTCTTTTGATCGATTTTAACGATTTTCTCAAAATATATACATTGTTTTATTTCTAAAAAGTATGTTTAAATTTTATGACAAACTTCTAAAACTAAAAAATTTATGAAACGAAATTTATTTTTATTTTAACACAAAGATATTTTTTTTTTTAATTTATTCTATTTATTTTTTCATCTTTACCAATATATTTCTTATTATGAACTTAGAATATACAATTAATGACATTACAAATGCAATATATATATATATATATATATTCTAATTAATGGTTAAAAGTTAATTTATTCTAAATTATTTCTGCTATACTTTTTAAACAAATTTTATGTTATTTTTTAATTTTAAAATTAATTTTAATTATTTATTTAGTCCATGTATTGCATGAGTTCATATGCTAGTAAAGAATTATAATATGAGTTATCACTTGTCTCTCAACTATCTAACAATGATAAGCTAGTGTTATCTTACCTATTGAAATTTTTCACTAAGTGAATAATGTTGGAACAATCTTTTGTGTAAATAAAATAACTTAAAATAATTCAAACAAAATAAAATAAAACTTACAGAATTTATTTTGTTGAACCGAATCAATAATTTAAAGACCAAGTCGAGTGTGTGACACTATGTCTTTAAGATAAATTCGCCCCGCTACGGTGCTTACGGCTATGTGGCGTCTATCTCCCAGGATACAATGATCTTCACAAATTTGTAGTAGCACTTCAAACAAATTTGTTCGACGAACCAGAACCTTGTGTTCTATAACTCTCTGAAATTTTCCCTAAAATAATATGAAGAATAAAGGACGCAAGAGAGCAAAATGAAGGCAAGGAAAATGAATTTTCGGAATCAATCAAAATTGGAATGGGGCTGCCTTTACATAGGCTTTGTTGGCACCTATTCAATTTGAATAAAAAAGGTATGAAGAAGGGACATACCCCTTCCTTTAAAATAAAGAGACACCATGAAAGGTTTGCACTCTTTCATTCAAATGAAGGTTTGACCCTTCCTTTAAAACAAAAAGACACCATGAAAAGTTACACCCTTTCATTCAAAATGGAGTCTATTTCAATTCACAACTACCTCTTTATAAATTTTCTAACAAACCCCCACATAAATGAAATTGACAGACAGAAAATGCAACAATATGATGTAAATA